GTTAAGAAATCAAATAACTTTTGCGTTGGGTAAGTCTGCTGCACAAGACCTATTTAAAGTGCTATAAAGAGCAGAACTCACACTGAGGATTAATCATGGTATTTTCAACTGCTTCAGATGCAATGTGACATGCATCCTGGACAATGAACAGGGAAAAATACAAATTAATTGATGCATTAGAATGATAGTGTCGTGAAGAATATTTAGAGTCCCATGGACAGCCAGAAGAACAAGCAAATCTATCTTTGAAGAAGCACAACCAGAATGCTCCATAAAAGTGAGGATGGCAAGATGTCTCACGTCATGTTGTCAGGTGAGGACAGCTCCTGGAAAAAGACAACAAATTTGGAAAGTAGAAGGTCAATGAAAGAGAGGAATGCTGTCAAATGTTGGATTGACATACTGACTGCAGCAATGGTCTCAAACATAATAACAATTGTGAGGCTGGCACAAAACTGAGAAATGTTTTGTTCAGTTGTATGTAGGGTTTCTATAAGTTGAAGCTGACTTACTGACACCTAACAACAACAATATATATATATGTGTGTGCCTATGTATGTATATACATGAAAATGTTTATGTACATACATATATTTGAGGGGGCTTTAAAGAATTTGTGAAAATTCCATTATCTTTTAGTTTCATTTGGATTTTTTTTCCTTTCAGAGTTTTATATTTGTCATCCCATTGCCTTCTTGACTGCATGGTTTCTGCTGAGAAACCAGAGTTTAATTTAATTTTACTGGTTCTCCTTTGTAGGTACATTTTTGTTTTTCTTGAGCTGCCTTCTTTTTTTTTTGGTTTTAGAAAGATTATGATATGTCTTGATGAGTTTCTTTGGGGATCTATCCTATTTGTGGTTTATTCAGCTTTTCAAATTCATGTCTTTTGTGAGACTAGAGAAGTTTTTATTTAGCAATTGTAAACATTTTTCTCCGTGTGTTTTTGGTCTCTTCATTTCCTGGAATTTCAGACACATGTGTTATCCTTATCATTATTAGGCATTCTTTTTTTCTCATTCCTTTTACTCTCTGTTTCTCTAGAAGATTAGTATTGAGAGTTTTCTCTTCATGATCTCTAATTCAGCCATAAATTGATTCACTTACATTTCTTTCCTCTCTCAGTTAATTATTTATTTGTGAAATCTTAGTACTAGTCTTCTGAACATATTTACTGCTTTTGTTGGGTTTCTAATTTATTTTATCAATTTGCTCTTGTATGTAGAGTTTACCTGAAGTATTCTCAAGCTTTTTCTTTATTTTTCTTGCTTCCATCTGCAGTTTTCTTGATCTCTTTCACAAGCTGTTGAAAGTATCCAAATATCACTCTTTTTAGTTTTTTTGCCATGCTTTTCTAATGCTATTTCTTTTTCAGAAAGGCTTTCAGGTTCTATATTTTTGTCACTTGTTTGAATTATTCTGTCTAGTTTCTCCATGTGAACTGAAATGATCTCTTGTCTCCAAGGAATTGTGGTGGTGTTGCATTCATATTTGGTTGGTTACTGTCTGTCGATGTGTTCCTCAGCACTCACTACCTGTTTCCTTGTGTATTTGGTAGAGAATGAAAATGTGTGCACAACAGACAGCAACCTAAAATAATCATATGAGATCATTATCAAGAAATCATCCTAATTTCACACAAAATGCAACAAAACCACATGATTCACAATAGGTGTGTTAGTCTGGCTAAACTAGAGAAACAAATCCAGGGAGACTCATGTATAAGAGAGAATGTTATATAAAAGAGCAATTGTATATTGAGAAAACATCCCAGCCTAATGCAGATCAAACCCATAAGTCCGATATTAGTCTACATGTCCAATACCAATCTATAAAGTTCTCTTCAGATTCACAAAACACATACATTGACTCTGAATGCAGGAAGATCACAGGACAATAGATGGAAAGCCTTGTGGATCCAGTGGTGGTAGAAGCATCTCAATGCTGGCAGGGGTCTCCACATGGCTCCTTCAGCTCCCAGGGCTCTGGCTGCATCAGGGTGGCTCCATCAGTGTCAGTAATGTCTTGCAGGCATTGAATTTGTGTCATGCCTCCAGTGAGCTATTTATCTCTAGTGCCTCCAAATGAGGTCATCAAGCTGCAAACCATTGACAGGTTAAACTCCACCCCTTCATTCCTAAGTCTCAAATTGACAATAGATCATGTAACTACCACAATAGGGAGCAATTGATAGCATTCTACAATGAAGAAAATAATAAAATAATGGAAAGAATAAAATAGATATTAAACCGTTGAACAGAAAAGAAATTGAATAATACACAGAAGACAACAAGCTGTTCTAAACTTTGAACGAAAACATTAAAAATCAACCTAACTTCTAAGAAAAATGCTAAAACCTCCACAAAATAAAAAAGAGAAAAACCACAAAATTCTACTAAACAGTAAGATTAAAAAAAAAATGCAAAGAAGAAATTAACCAGAAATCTACAAGCAAAATAAAATAAGCACAGAAAATTATGATGAACAAAGAAACCAAAATCATAATTTTAAAACCCATATAACAAAATTACAATAAAACTATACCTATCAATGGCAACACTGAATGTAAATGGTTTAAACACAACATTAAAAGGGGATGAATAATGGAAAAGTGGGTGAGGGGCGATGGAGGACGATGTAAGATATGAAAAAAATAATCTATAACTTATCAAGGGTTCATGAGGGATAGCGGGCAGGGGAGGGAGGGGGAAGAAATGAGGAGCTGATATCGGGCTCAAATGGGAAGAGAATACTTTGAAAATGATTATGGCAGCATATGTACAAATGTGCTTGACACAGTGGAAGAATGTATGGATTGTGATAAGATATGTAAGAGCCCCCAATAAAAGTATTTCTTTAAAAAAAGACACAGACTATAAGAATGGATAAGAAAATATGATTCATTGATATACGCTATCTAAAAGAAACACATCTCAGACACAAAGACAAAAACAGGCTAAAAATCAAAAGATGGAAAAAACATATCAAGCTATATGAGAAATACAAATTAAAACAATGTTAGATCTCACCTCACATCCACACTGATAGCAATTTAAAAAAAAACAAAGTAACAAATGTTGAACAGAATATGGAATTATGGGAATGTTCTTGCATTGCTAGTAGGATTGCACAATGGTACACCCACTATGGAAAAAGTACAACACTTTCTAATGCAAATGCAAATAGAAATACCATATGACTCTACAACCTCTCTATTTACTATATCTACCTCTCAAGAAATAAGGAACAAAGTATAAACAGATATAAGCTTACCCATGTTTATCATCACATCCCCAAGTTGGCATCATTAGGTTGCAACTTGATTTACAGATGGTACTTCATTCCTATACTTTATTCCAGGTACAAGTTGACGTAAAAATCTAACCATCAAAACCTGAGAGACCAAATGAAACAGATAAGATGACAATCTTAGAACTCTGAGCTTCAGAAGAAAGGGTAGAAAAATGGATTGAATACCAACTAGGAGAAGCTGAACAAAAGCAAAGAGATAGAACAAATGAATTGTCAGTTGATGGCTATTTTGAACTTTTGCAAGTAGTTTTAGCTCAAGTCAGTGATCTGATCACAGGCTCTGCTCACCCAGGACACCACGCACAGCACAAACAGCAGTGGCTTATGACCAGATAGTGCTATCGCTTCCCCCTTGTTTCCCACATGCTGCTGGGGAACAGAAGTTTGCCCAGGCCCCATACTCATCCAGTCAGTGGCTGGTGATCCCCAACACCGCCTGCAAAGCTTCTGCTCTGCCTGAATTCAGAGGTTCTCCTTTGTGGATCAGGAATAGGAACACATCATCTGTGCACCTGAAGGGGCTTAAACTCTGCTTCATCAGACCAGCAGAATTGGATGGGAGGCAGCCACTAGCCATTCCTGGATGGCCAAGAAATCTCTCCGTAAACAGTGGCATGGTTTTCTCCTGAGGATTCGGGGAACTCCTGTCTCCTCTCTGGAGGTGGGACACACACTCTCTGCTTCATCTTCCTGTTGACAAGTCACATGGACTATGCTGATGGAGCCAGAGTCCTGGAGCTGGAGAGTCATGCAGCACTGACATGCTTCCACCACCACTGGCTTCACAAGACTTTCCACTCACTGGCCTGAGATCTTCCTGCATTCTGCACCATTGCATGTGTTGCGTGAGTCTGAAGAGGAATTTACAGATTGGTATTGGGCTTATGGGCTAATATCAGACTCATGGACTTGATCTGGAGTGGGTTGGGATCTTTTCTTAATATAAAATTGTTCTTTATATAAAGCTTTTTCCTATACACATATAACTATCTATGAATTTGTTTCTTCAGTCTATCCATACTAACAACAGTCCACATTTTTAATGAGTTGAGAATTTTTGTGATCATATTTTAAAGATCTAAAACCTATTTCTCTGTTCTGTCTTCAAAGAACACTGCTTGTTTTTTTATAGATGTAATGCATTTTCTGCTTGGTAAAGTAGGGGCCAGTATAAAAGCGGGAGGCCCACAACAAGATGGATTGACACAGTGGTGGCAACCATATACTCAAGCATAAGAACACTTGCTTGATGCAAGTGAATGCGTGCAGGCCTGGGCCGTGTTTCGCTCGGTTGTGCCTTGGGTCACTATGGGTCGGAATCGGCTCAATGGCACCTAACAACCACAATGACAATGTGTTTTCTTAGTTACATGAGAATATTAAAAATCCTTCTTTTGAGTTTTTACTTCCATTCATAGTTTTCAAATCCTTCATATTAATTTTTCTCTATTGAATTTTCTTATTTGTATATAACAATGAAGTTATATGCTCTTCAGATGATTTGAAACTGGGAGAAATATTGAATGCATTAGCTCACAGAAGACCTCAAACATGCTTGACCTTTTCGTTTGGATCCCGAAGTACCTGGCAATGAAATGTAACAAATTGGTAGGTGAGGTTAGATTAGCCAATTCAAGGTTTAAGTTAATAGGACATTCAATTGAACCACAGTGGGAACTAAAAATACTAATGGATGTTAAACATTTTATTAATAAAGATTTAGACTGCGCAGGGGCCATGCTAATCTTCTCTGTATCGTTCCAATTTTAGTATCACGATCCCAATTCTACCTTACAAGTCTGGATAGACCAGAGGATGTACACAGGTACAGATAGGAACTGGAAACACAGGGAATCCAGGATGGATGATCCCTTCAGGACCAGGGATGTTAGTGACAATACTGGGAGGGTGGAGGGAGGGTGGGTTGGAAAGGGGAAATGATTACAAGGATCTACATGTGGGGGACAGACAACAGAAATGTGGGTGAAGGGAGATGTCGGACAGGGAAAGACATGACAAAATAATAATTTATAAATTATCAAGGGTTCATGAGGGATCAGGAAACGGAGAAGGAGGAAAACCAACGAGGAACTGATGCTAGGGGCTTAGGTCGAGAGCAAATGTTTTGAGAATGATGAGGGCAATGAATGTACAAATGTGCTTTACACAATTGATGTATGCATGGATTGTGATAAGAGTTGTATGAGCCCCTAATAAAATGATAAAAAAAGAGATTTAGACTGAAAGAAGTGATAACCTTTATTCGGTGAAGCCATGCTTCAGTAATAATAATAACTATATCATAATTCCTGGATTCCATATACAGAAAACATACCACCAATCCCAACCCACCCCCAGGCTCAAATCCGAAAAGCAATAACAAATTAAAACAAAGAAACACCTCAATTGAAAAGAAGACAGAAATTATTAAAAATGAACAATTTTAAAATGAGCCAAAGGGAGAATAAATGATAAGGTATTGAAATTTAATCTTCACTCATCCACTTTTCAAGGCCCTCTGTCTGACAGCAGCTATTTACACCTCTGATCAATGGTCACCGGGGATTCACCAGAGGCTTAATTCACATGGGGACTTTGCAAATGGATTTTGGGCTTTCAGTGTAAACTGAGTGCTCAAAATTTAAGCTCCAACACTGTTAGATCCTTCCGTCTTGGGTTTTATTATTTATAATCTTTGGATCATACTTCTCCCATGTGACTTGGCTGACCTCTTACTTAGATAGCTGCTTATTTTAAGACAACTCCTTAAGACCCCTCACACTATTCATTCTGCTATTGGGCAAATTGGGCTATTGGGCAAAAATGTGATTTTTCCACCACATTTTGCTCTAGCACCCATATCTTCAGTGATCTCTTCATGAGGGCAAGTATCATAAAAACTAATTGTTCCAGAAATAGAGGAAAGAACTAGGACTTAAAACTGTGACTTTCTAAGGCAATCATGTCCCCACCATCGTGTGCCTTAATATCCTTGATTTATGTTGATATTCTATGCGTCTTGGGCTGGCTTTCTATACACACATGCACTTCTTTGCACATAAAAACAATCAGGTTGCCCAGGCCTCTCCTCCACCTCTATTTAAAAAAATTTTTATTATTAAAAGTGGCCATCTAGCTTGGAAGCAACAAAGCTCACAGGGAAAAAGCACACCCACCTGTGTAATCACGAGGTGTTGAAAGGATCAGGTAGCAGGCACCAAAGAACAAAAACCATCATTTTGTGCCCACCTTCCCCATATAAACGCTGAAGACAAATGTGTGCATAAGTAAGTGTGGTGAAGAGAAGGCTGATGGTGCCCGGCTATCGAGAGATATAGCATCTGGGGTCTTAAAGGCTTGAAGGTAAACAAGCAGCCATCTAGCGCAGAAGCAACAAAGCCCACATGGAAGAAGCCCATCAGCACGTGTGATCATGAAGGGTCGAGGGGACCAGGTATCAAGCACCAAAGGGAAAAAAAATCATATCATCGTGAATGAGGGGAGTGCACAATGGGGACCCAATGCCCATTTGTAGACAACTGGACATCCCTTGCAGAGTGGTAGTAGGGAGGAGATGAGTCACTCAGGGTGCAGTGTAGCACTGATGAAACTCACAACTTTCCTCTAGTTCGTAAATGCTTCCTCCCCACCACTACCAGGATCCCAATTCTACCTTACAAATCTGGTTAAACCAGAGGATTCACAGCGGTGCAGATGGGAACTGGAAACACAGGGAATCCAGGACAGATGAACCCCTCAGGACGAGTGGTGAGAGTGGCTATATCAGAGGGAGGAGGGAATGGGGCGTAGAAAGGGGGAACCGATTACAAGGATCTACATATAAACTCCTCCCTGGGGGACAGACAACAGAAAAGTGGGTGAAGGGAGATGTCGGTCAGTGTATGATATGATAAAATAATGATTTATAAATTATCAAGGGTTCATAAGGGAGTGGGGAGCAGGGGGGCGGGTAGAAAAATGAGAAACTGATTCCAGGAGCCCAAGCGGAGGGTAACGAATGTGTAAGTGTGCTTTACACACTTGATGTATGTGTGGATTGTGATAAGAGTTGCATAAGCCCCAATAAAATGATTTAAAAAAAATTTTAAATTTCACCTTTATTTTTGAGTGGATTTTCTGCTATATAAAATGTGAATTTTAATTTCAAATCATAGGTATGCTCTTCAGCACCTATTTAAAATGATTTTTTGTTGTTGTTGTTGCATGTTTTGTACCAATTAAGCAATCAGCTAGTGCAGCGCTTAGGTGGCTATCACTCCAAGAACCACAGGAGGGCAGGCGAGTCTAAAGAATGAGAAGAGGACCAGGCCGGGCTCTAAAACCTGTCTTTGTTCAAGTGGAAGGCAAACCATTGAACAATCGGTGAAACCTGGAAAGTTTTGCGAACAATAGAGGAGCATTGTGTATTACGCGGTCAACTTGCACGCGAAACCATCATAAGAACACCGTTGTTTGCTCGATCCAAGATTTACAAGTGGGGATTTTTGGCAAGCCTGTTAATATTCTGAATCTCGTTTCTACTGCCTTGAAAATGGACCAGGTGTTGCCCATCACCCAGGTTTAAATAAAATCATACGGTTAAACGTTGCCCTGATGCTTTTTTTCTTCCACCTCCCTGCCCCCACCCCCTCCTCCCGGCCCATTAGTTGATTCTGCATAAGGAGCGCCACTTTTTTTCAACACCAAGTCTTTCTCCTCGGGGGGAATCCTTCCAGTCATCATTTCTGCTCTCATACTCTTTGCACTTTATATCTGATAGCCCCCCATACCTTGTACTTCATTTAGTTCCATGTCTGTTCTCCTAAGTTGCCTGAAAGCAGGTTGAAAGGTTGGCCCTTCAAAGCCACCTAGTGGCACCGCAGAAGACAGGTCCCAAGATCTACTTCCCACAGGACACAGCCTTGAGAGCTGCATGGAGCACTTGTGAGTTGAAGTCAACTGATGACAGTAAACAACACCAACATCAACAACAAAGAGCAGCCGTGTATGGTACACCTGGACTTAGTATCAACCAGCAGCTGGGAAGTAGCTTCTGACGCTGATTAGAGTTGATTTGTGCTCCACAGGGATTTCAATGGTTGATTTTTCTGAAGTAAATTGCCAGGTCTTTCTTCCAAGGAACCTCCTGATTACTGGCTGAAACTATTAGCCATTTGTACCACTTGGTATTGAGTAGACACTCAATAAAAGTTTATTCTAGGCATGACAAGATTTAAAGTACCTTGCCTCTGTCCTCCCTTGATCTTGCAATATTGAGTCATAGTTTATTGAACTAAAACTGGACTAGGAATTAGGGAAGACTTGGTCCTTGTTCTCATGAGTCTATGGTCTAAGGTTATGGTTAAAACTACTAGCAGCGAGGGGGCCACTGCTAGTTTAATGAATAATTGTACCTACCAAGCCCAGAAATGTTAGCCTGATGCAGAAGTGTTTCCAAAAAGTGGGCAATACTGCCCCCTGGTGGGTGCTGCAACAATCCAAGGGGGCTGCAAAAACTGATACTTAGCCCTTTATTCTGGATTATGGACTACAGAACAAAAGTTTTTAATTGCAGGGAGGCACTGATTTTCCCCCCCTGAAAAGGGTCAGTAGGAAGACCGAATTTGGGAACCTATGATGTGAAAGAAAGAAAGACATACCTCATTTGGTACATGTTGGGGTTCAAACAACTCTTGGCTGCAAATATAAACCGATATTTTTAAAGAACCAAAATATGTACAAGAGCTTATTTTTCAATAGGAAAAGGGAGCCAAAAGAGATCCCAACATTATGGTAGAATTCATACAGGCTAGAGAGGCATGAGGAATCATGTTGACATGAAGTTGATTCTGACTCATAACACCCCTGTAGGACAGAGTAGAGCGGCCCCTGGGAGTTTCCCAGACTGTAACTGCTTATGTGAGTGGAAAACTTCCTCCTTCTCCCTTGGAGCAGCTGGGGATTTTAACTGCTGACCTGCTGTTAGCCCACTGCATAACCACTAGCCACCAGGGCTCCCTACACACCTAGCACAGGGAGCCCAATGAAGGGTGCGGTAGCAAGGGCCTGGGGCTGTATTTTGGAGCTAGATGGCACTAGTGTCCTCAGCTAAGTAGGAGGGTACTTCATGCTGTCTTTTTCAGATATTTACTAGAGAAATAAAGACCATTGGTCAATGACTAAGCGCAAGGCTGGGCCCAGGGAAAGGCAGGTGTTCCTCTGATGGTGGTCAGGTTTCTTTGAAGAGCTTGATTCCCTCCCTTTCAATAACTCACACATGGAGATTGAGGCTTAGAGGAAGTTCCCGGAAACCTCTGGTATGGTGGCTGATTTTCCAGGAAACTATGTTTGTTTAGTGAAGCATCTAACAATGCCTGTTTGGGGGCCAAACCTGGCAGCTTCCATGCTTGTCTGAGAGCGAGAACAGGGATGGTCACAGGGGCTGGCTTCCTGGCCACTGAGGTCTGGTGCTGCCCTGTTCACATGCTAACTTTTGTTGAAAACTAATGATGGGTCGGCTACCCATTTTTATAATTTTATCTTGGAATGTGACAGAGTCCCATCAACAGCTTTATTGGCTCTCTAGTAATACATAAGTTGGACAAAAAAGGTGGAAAGGTAGAAGGAATTTCATATGTAAGCACCGATTTGGATCATGCTTCACACACAGGAATTCATCAGGCAAGCCAGTCTTTATCCATTAACCTATCCTATAACTTTTATTACAAATGTGTTGTGTCTCTGAAGGAGACCTATTGCCCAGTGGGTTAAGTGTTGACCTGCTAACCTCAA